CTCGTGCTTGCCACTGCGGCGGTCTTCATGTCCTCAAATCCGCCACTTATGCAAGATGTCAACTATTCATCTAATGCATCTTACGCCTGTTTGGCAGAGTCGCTTGTCTTTTCGTTGTTTGGGCTGTTGTTCCAGCTGAAAGTATCTGCCAATGGATTCATTTTTCGAAAGCGTGAAGCTGCAAAAATACGTCATCACGTTGTCGATTATCAGTGTGACAGGTCAGAGCTGACCTCACCCCAGGTCATCGTTGAGAGGCGCTGGAGAATTTTTTGGCACATCCTGGGTTTGGCGGTTCCAGTCATTCTCTTTGGCATATCAGTGGTGCTGATGATTGCTGGTGAGCAGTTCACCTTGTAATGTGTGGTTGCGACTTACGCCGTTCATCGTCAGCCATCGTGCTCACAGGGTTCTCGTCTCACTCCAAAACCGTCCAATTGTATCTGAGCACAATGTTTGCTTTCCTGTGCGCTTGTCATTTGGTGTCGATTCTGGCTTCCCCATTATACTACCATTTGTCGAACTTATGTGTCCACATTCTGAAGACCGCGAGTGGTCAGGAAGGGGGAGCGAGCGCCGCTTGAAACAGTGGAGGTTGGGTGTTTAGTCCATCTACGTCAGTGCTCTATATGCCTTATCGACTTCGCCAGGTTGGGAAGGCAATATCTGGCGATATTGTACAATAAAGTAATACGAAGAACCTCAATCAATGATACCGATTTCTTTTCTCGGAGCTATTCGGTCGTTTTCTATGAGCGAGCGGATTTGGCGGTAAATGAAACCACCTCGCACTCCTTGCTAGAAGTGCTTTCGTTGCGCAGGAGATTCTGAATTGCACCTGAAGACACGGCACAGTTGGGTGGTTAGTGACATACGGAGAATGACAAACTGAAGGAGATAAATGAAGTAAAACAAACGCGGACTTCCAAACCGTGCAACCACTGCCTCAGACCTCTGCATCGCATTTATTACTACAGGAGTCAGACGGAGGCGTAGGAAGACATTCTCACTTATGAAGTCAAAGCAAACAGGTTTCAAGATCTAGACTTGTTAATCGCTGCATAAGACAAGCTGATTCAGTTCTCGCCGCCACGGCCCACTCAGCAGACATTCTTGCTCTGTCCGTGAAGTTTCAATCGTTACGACCATGGGCTGGCTGAATTTACAGACGATGCACAGAGCGTGGACGTTTGGTCCGATCCTGGGTCTCCATTAGACGAATCACTGGGTGAAGCACTTGAGTATCCTGGAGAAGATGACCCAGTTGATTCAGAGTCTCGCTCGCGGGGCATTGTTTGCTTTGGACAGCCTTTTGGCGCAGCGGAGTGCAGGGGACTCTTGCCTCAGATCACAATATCATCGCGCAAGTCAAGGACATGACTGGCATGATGGACATCAGGACGCTCATGCATATCGTATGCTGACTTACAACTGGAATAAAAACCACTACATTGCATTATTGAATCGTTGCTGAGAACACCAGCTGAGAAAGCGTTGTTTATCAGTCGCGGTGCGTCCTGGTTAACTGTGCGTCATTGCTTCTCGCCCGCAATATATCATGCCTGCAGGAACCTCGCGCGTGTTGAGCTTCGGAATTAGTTCTGCAGCATGCTTATGAACCAGCAGCTGCAAGATTCCCCAAGGGTTCTGACTCGTCAGTCGAAAGAGTTTCATCTGCCCACATTGTAATTGGATCGGACCACTGCGTCCCTCGCACTTCGGATATATCATCCATTGGAATGTTCCCGGCCCTCATGCTGTTTCGCACCCCTCATTTACGGCTCCTATTTACTGCGCAAAGTTCTCACTTGAAGTCGATTCGACAAACACACCAGCCTCACGTCTTGGCTTTCAGGATGAATCAAGTCCTGGCCGCAATGCTGAGGCCGCCACTGTTCCCAACACAGCGACATTGCCTCGCGCGACGTTGCACGTGTGTTTTGACGCTAGGTGATCCCAGATCTTATGAGCAGCGCTCAGACAGGCAATTCAAGGATCAAGCCTTGCTTCGACGGTGCGTGCTAATTCATACATATTCCTGAAACGAACTTCTGCTTATGGTCTTTCTCAAGGTATTCAAGTTACGAGCATAGTTTATCCCCTCTGAAATGTTTGTCCGTCCTTCCAGGAATGCCTGGGCAGAATCGTCGCGCCACGCAGTCATACAGCTAGATTTGTCCCTCCTTCCAAAACTATTAGCGCTCATTTGGCGGCGGTAAGTTAGACATGCATTCGTAATATTCCGTGCCGCAAGACTGAAGCAAAGTAGCATCGCGCCATCAATTGATACGCGCAGTGAACCCTTGCCATCGGCATGAGGCAGCATGCACCCTTTCCACGGCCTATATATCCTCGCAGTGGATCCTAGCTCAGAGACAGTCAATTACCCCACCATCCTTTATGTCGAACCAAGCTCAGAATCTCCAAGTGTCCAGTAAGGGCATACAGCGCCCGAGGCTGGTACGGCCTGACAGTGACTCAGACGATTTATTTTTCCAAGGATTTCCATCCACTTGGGATCCTCCAACATTCTGTATTTCCAAGTGGGCCTTCAAAATATGCTGCGTCGTATTCACCTTTCACGGGGATCTGATCTGGTTATACTACCTTTTGAGTACGGGAGATAATTGGGAAGAACTGCATACTCAATATCTGAGCCTGCTCGGTCAATTGAGCACCATAGTAAGTGTTGACGATAGGGTTCGTTCATTCAAACTGATCGCACTAATCTGTCCTTTGGCAGCAAGGACTTGTGCTTGCCACTGTTGCGGTCTTCATCTCCTCAAATCCACCCCTTCCCCAAGATGTCGACTACTCATCCGGTCTATCTTATGCCTGTTTGGCGGAGTCGCTTGTCTTTTCGTTGTTTGGGCTATTGTACCAGCTACACGCATTTTTTGCCGCAACCCGTTATCAAAAGCGTGCTACTACAAAAGTGCGTCCCATAGTAGATTGTGAGGATGACAGGCCAGAGCTGACCTCGCTGCAGGTCATAATTTTCAGGCGCTGGAGAATTTTTTGGCACCTCCTGGGTTTGGCAGTTCCAGTCATCCTTTTTTTCATATCAGTGGTGCTGATGATTGTTGGTGAGCAGTTCATCTTGTACTTAATGCGTGATTGCGACTTACACTGTTCATCATCAGCCATCGGCTTCACGGGTTTTCTATCTCAGTCTACACTCGTCCAAACTTATATGACTTCAACATTGGCATTCATTGGTGCTTGTCATATGGTGTCGATTCTGAGTTCACCGCCATACCACTATTTGATAGACTTATGCACTCACCACTTTGGACGACAAGAGGGGGAGAAAGCGCCGCTTGAACATCCGGAGGTTGGGCGAGTGTTCTAGCAAGTGTGCTAATGGCCACGATCGATTATTCCTACAAATGGACATTGAGTACTAGTATCCCCTAGTTCAGTGGTAGTATCCGGACCCCTAGGCAGATGTACCTTCAAACTGTACACTCGGCTCGACAATCTCGATGCTCCCCGTTTCCACCACATCTACCTTGTTGAACGAGGTGCCGAATTGGACCATGACCGAGCCCAGGCTAGATTTATTGCGAGATCTCAAATTACCAAGTGTCTTTGACGCTCTGCCAGTGCGCTACTGTGATCGACACATTCGCAGAACTCCGGTGTAATGATTCCTCGTGGGATTCAGCCTGCCTTTTCTACGATATTCCACGTTTTTGGCGAAGTATGACACATGTACATACTACAGATGAGCATCTCCTTGCGTAAATCTAGTCGCGGAACCAATATGGAAGTGGCGGTACGCCGTGGCCCATCGTGCGGTCAGTCTGTGTTCTTGTATTCTTCCGTCATTCATACATGATCTCAAGTTCTGTATGGTCATCACCATGCCACCCCACCCTCGAAAGAGCAAGGAGGTGTGTGCACGCCATCACTTATCTGATTTAGACGCACTCAAAAAGATCAAGGGATTGAGCTTCAACACCTGGGTCTTCTCAAGCTAGCTCGTCGCAAACTACAAGCTATTACCTCAAAAGTCAGTCTATTGCAAGCCGGCCCCCAAATGCATTTCTCTGCAGGCAAATATTTCTGATAACACCAAACTGACTGGTCATCCACGTCGTCTATCTACGGCTGACCTTTTACCTCCGAGTCCATTTCGAACTTTTTGGGCAGCCGCATGTGTTCCCAAAGAACATACATCTACATACATCCTTGTCCGGGAAAGTGGAGCTGACATTCCATAGTAGTGCTTCTGCATAGATTGAGGGTCACTCGACGGTATTTACTTTGCATATGATCACAGACTTCTTGACTTGATCGGCACTTCAGCAAATCACCCAATTGACGCTAGGCAATTTCAACCCTTATGAGCGCTCAACACTCAGGGCTCAGGCAATTCAAGGATCATGCCTTGCTGGGGCAGTGCGTGACAATTCATACTTATGACCAGGGCCAAGGTAACTGTCTTACACGTAAATTACGTTGGTAGTTATCAAAGATGCGAATTTGTTTGTTATACTATCATTCCGGGTAATCTGCAACTAGCATGTAATATGCAAAATGTTCAAAACACCTCAACGCGCTGCTCGACTCACTTCAAAAAAATTCAGGCATATGTAGACTACTTATAGATGATGTATTGTCCAAGTAGAATAAAAATTTCTTGAGTGTTGGAGCTGCGAGAGATGAAATAGTGGTAATTTGTAACCATGCAGGAACATAAATCATCCAGATCCCATAGATCCTACAGATATATTCACAAAGTTATACCTGGAGCATGACAATCACCTCGTCAGGATTCCAGAACACAATTTCGATAAAGGTCATTCTGTTGTTTTAAGATGCTATAGAGGAAGAATTGACGACATGTATGAAAACGTGACAGCAGATAGGAGAGAGTGTAAGAAATTCAATCTCCTCTACGGCACACTCGGCTAGTGCACGGCATCTGCACTCTCCACACCAAGTCTTGCATTGTGTTGTGTTGTCTCCTCTTGCATCATTCTCGCATCCTTGTTACAATGGCACCAAACCACAGGCGTACTATCCGTCAGAAGAAAGCCGAAGCAAGACATGATTCATCAAAATTCAATGCACAAACCATTTGGTGGCTATCAGCCACAGCCTATCCCTCCGAGTCAACCCTCAATGGTGCGCATGGATCTTCCCCCACTCGGGTATGCACCCCCATATTGTCCCATGCACCATTCCGCACCTCAGCTTCAGCCTCCACATATTCCTCACTTTGCGCCGGCTGGTAGAGCAGATGTTCGAGTTGGTGGTGAGGCACAGATATATGATGTCGCAGGCCGTCAGCTCTATTCAGGACCATATCACCAGTACAATCACAATAACTACATGAATTGCGATACTTAATAATAATATATTGCTGTATTCAGTACTTTCAGAGCTTTGCACAACTTCAACAACTTCAAGTTCGACGACTCAACGCCAACAGATCGAGAGCTGCGGAGAGTCAAAGTTGACGGTGCCGGTGCTGCGCCGAGGCGTGACATGACGTGACCATATTTTGCAGATTAGCAGTCAGACCCTGAATTTTCTCGGCTTTCATCCGACACCACACCACAACGTCCTAAAAATGAGCAAAAATCAGATCTATATAGAGGTGGTACGAATCTACAACTCTCTAAATTCGTGGAAGATAAAATGAAGTGGTTGATGAGCTACAAAAGATTTGCTGAAAAAGTTGCAGATTACCCGGAATGATAGTATTTACTAGATGAAGCTCTGTGGCTCGGGATGTTCCGTACAGAGCTGTCCAATGTATGTCACTGTGGCACTGTACAGAACCAAGTACATAGTTTACTGATAGAGTCTGGACTCTGCGATCATGTGCCAAGTAAATACAGTCAAGTGGCCCTCAATCTATGCAGAAGCACTACTGTGCCATCAGGTAACAGGTGCAGTGAACCCTTTCATTTCTTCGACATGCCCCTTTCCACTGACCTATATATCCTCACAATGACTTCTGGCTCAGAAAAGTCAATTACCGCCTGTTACAGCTGCTGATGCCCACCCAAACTCAGAATTTTCCAGTGTCCAGTAAGGGCATACAGCACCCGAAGCTGGAACAGCCTGATAGTAACCCAGATGATCCATTCTTCCAAAGATTTCCATCCACTTGGAATCCTCCAACATTCTGTATTTCTAAGTGGGCCTTCAAAGTATGCTGCTTTGTATTCACCTTGCACAGAGATCTGGGCTGGTTATATGTTATGACCCACGTCCCTTAACCTAACTAGTAGGTGTCTGGAGTTGGAATCACACCACAGGACTCAGTCAAAGAGGATAAAGCAAGATGGATTTGAGAGGGAACGTCTAGGCCCTACAATGATGTAGAAACGAGGAGGTTAAGTCTAAGGAGTACTACTGACTACTACCTAGACTATATACTACTATTGGGGCGGAGCTATCTGAGTATGAAAGGTATGTGATATAACTATATACGGTCATAACATTGCACCTAGGGTATAGGGCGTCTTATCAACCAATCAACTACAAGAAAGGAGAAAGGGGAAAGGATAAGGGTTCATAGGGCCAAGGGTATCGGTAATTAAGCAGGGTTCTCAGGGACTGCTTCTATTCAGGGTAGACGGAGATTAAGGGTGTGAGAGAGTTCTGTGACAAGAAGTCTCGAGTGGTAATTAAGGATCTCGATTAGAGATAGGATCTGATGATCTAGATCGAAGGATCTAGATAGGATCTGGATCTGGAGATGTATCGGGTACGATCGGATCTAAGGGTTCTCCAGGGTTTTCGGTAATGAGTATGCTTCTCTATGAGCGGTACTTCTGTGATATGGGTTCAGGGTTTAGCTGTGACTGTGCAACAGGTTCTAATGTAAGGGGTTCGGTGAATGACAGAGGTAACTCTTAACATGTCATGTGTGAAGATGTGAAGGTTTGCGATGTGAAGAGGTGATGCCCCTTTGAGAGAGAGATAGCTCGTAAAGCACTCTCGGTTATGGTTTGATCATAGAGGCATGTAGATGCTTATGATGTAACCCGTTTGCCTAATCGTAGGACTTCTAAGGATGTGATGAGTTCGGTTGTCTAGGGTTACGGATAAGGATGGATGACGTCGATGTAGTATAGATGTGATGTAAAGATAGTGGTCGTTAGCCGGTTATCCATCTTATCTTATCAGGGATCTATCTAATCTAATCTTATCGGATAAGGTGACTTAGGGTTCGATAATCGAAATTTAGATGTAATTGGTAACATTCATGACATTATATGACCTCTTGAGCGAAGGAAATAACTGGGAAGAACTGCATACTCAATATCTGACCCTACTCAATCAAGTGAGCATCGTAGTAAGTGTTCACGATAGTGTTGCTTCATTCACACCGATCCATTAATTCGACCTTGGACAGCAAGGACTCATGCTTACCACTGTGGCAGTTTTCTTATCCTCAACTCCACCCATTCCCCAAGATGTCAATTACTCATCTGATCTATCTTATGCCTGTCTGGCGGAGTCACTTATCTTTTCGTTATTTGGGCTATTGTACCAGCTACATGCATTTTTTACTGCAACCCATTATAAAAAGTGTGCTACTTCAAAAGTGCGTCATCACATAATAAATTGTGAAGATGACAGGCCAGAGCTGACCTCACCGCAGGTCATCATTTTCAGGTGCTGGAGAATTTTTTGGCACCTCCTGTGTTTGGTGATTCCAGTCCTTCTTTTTCTCATATCAGTAGTGTTGATGATTATTGGTGAGCAGTTCACTTGTACTTGATACGTGGTTTGCTTACATTGTTCATTGTCAGCCATCGGGTTCACAGGGTTCTTATCTCAGTCCAGAGCCATCCAAACTTATATGACCTCAACGTTGGGATTCATTGGCATTTGCCAAGTGGTGTCGACTCTCGGTTCACCAATATACCACCATGTGATGGACTTATGGACCCATGTTTTGATGGCCAACAGTGGTGGGCAGGGGAGAGGGGAAGGGGAGGAAGTGCTGCTTGAACCTTGAACTCATCTCGAGGTTGGTCGAGTGTTCTGATAGTTAATGATTGCTCTTGCAAATGGACATTCACTCAGAAGGAAGAAAATTGTTCCTTCTGTACTGTAATTTATACCAATCCCCTTGAATTTTGAGGGAAAATAGTGTGTATTTTCACCTCGCAACAAGGCGGCTGTCAAATGGATCTGTGCAAGAAACTAAAGTGTTCCTTCATCATAGCGTCTAAACGCAAAGAAGAATGGATTGTATCATAAGTAACGAAACAAGACGATCAAACATAGATATGGAGGAGGTAGGGGTAGGTAGGTAGCCGGCATCAGAGGACAGTAATAATAGGAATATCGAAAGATATGCATAGAACGAAGGGCACATTAATATAGCGTGAAATCATCATGAACAATCAGTTCTTGTTTGTAATGCATGCCAAGTCAGAAAGGCGGGGTGAGACAAACCGAACTGACTCAAGAGATGCTACGTATACACCGCATTTGACTTTAGCACCTTAATATTCATACTTTGCTATGAACTGTCATCAGGCCTCTAGTAATCTCTCTTCTAGGCCTTGTCCAATTAGGTTGGTAAAACCGCTGTAAGTGAGGCAATCACGATATCGTGCAGGAGCCAAGACAGAAGTGTGATTGTCTTCCATGGCCATATCAGCTTGGTGTTAGAACGGCGTTTTTGAGACGTCCTCGACTCCTCGTCAATTTGAATGAGTATAAGAGCCAGTTCGGCAACAGGATGTTGGCTGACATCTGGCAAATGTCAGGTGAGAGGTTTTCGGCTCGAAGCATCCCAGACATCGGACTTCAAACTTTACTTCTCCTACTTGTACCATGAATTCTCCCTACTTTATTGATTGTCATCGTCGCCAAAGAATTTGTACTAGTGTTGTTGCCCTCACCGCCATCTGTGCAAACTTCGCAACTGTACTCATGGCTCAACTTGAACCTGAGACAACACAACTGGCCAACAGCACAAAGGCACATTGGCAAGAATCGGAGGTGGATGTCCTACTTCAGCACTTGATCGAGAACCAGGCAGCAGGCGGTGATGGTGGAAATTTCCTGATGACTATCTTCAACAGCGCAGCGGCTGCTATCAACGCTAATGAGGTGATTCAGACTATAGGCCCACAAAAGACGGGCAAGATGGCAAAGACAAAGTGGGCCTTGGTGCGTATATGATCTTATCTTGATTGATCATGGGTTGACCAGATCTTAGCTCAAAAAAACCTTCAATCAAATTGAGATCTACCACAATGTGTCTGGTTTCCACTGGGACAATGTACGAGGAGCTGGAATCGAGGGTGTTGCTGCCACCAGTGTCTGGGATGCATATGTTGCACCAAAGGTATGTCACTATGACACAGCGTGTTGGGACATGGACTGACATCGAAGTAGTCGTGAGCTACACTATGCCTTCTTCGCAACAAAGGATGGTCTCGGTATGATGACATGCAGACCATCCTGGGCGAGAACAGCAGTGCTCGTGGACACCACTCTTTCCACCCTGCCACAGCAGCCCCCGCCTCCGTCAATATAGACGATGTGCTCAAGGGTGCTGATGGGAGCCTTGACCTTCTCGATATGGACATAGACCCTAGCGCCGCTGGCCCTAGCAATGTGCCAGACATGAGCGCTGACTTGATGATGCCCCCTAGCGCCCTGTTCCATGGGACCTCTGCTACTACTGCTGGCTCCCAGTCCAGTAAACGCTTGCGCACCAATACCCTGCTTGACACCCTGGAGACGTCATCCTACAATTCCAATGCCACCCCCAAGTCCAGCTACACTGATAGTCACCACTCATCAACTCTCCCCCTTTCGCAAACATTGGTGCACTCATCCCAGTCACCAGCCTTCAAGAAGGCTCAAGTGTCGGCATATGACAGCGTGCAGATGGGGATGAGCAGCGCTGCCAAAATAGCTGCCAAGATTACTCCAGCGGCCGCCATCATGAACATGCAAGGTACTATCAATCGCCTCACCAACATTATTGACAAAAATATCGACAAAAATGTGGTCGCTGAGCCAGTGCCAGTTGTTCAAGTGGTTACCATGGTTTCTCATGGCCTGGCAATTATGTGCACTGGAGATGGAGACCTGTCAGTCGCTCAGAGAGCCAAGCTCTTGCGGATCTTTTCTCATTCAGGAGGCGAGAACAATCTCGCTGCTTACATTGAGCTGGAGGATGACTTTGAGATGCGCTGTGAATTTATCTTGGGACTCCTTGCATCTGTGTAGAGCTATCACCGCCTGTCACATTTATTGTACCAACATGTAGTATCCCACATCCTGTATCGCGCGTGTTTTGTATCATGACATATTGTACAAGTTCAACTATGTGCTACTAGTGAGAATTAGCCCAGTCCACCCTCATCCTCCGAGATACCTTGGTCTGATAGATCGTTGTCGTTGTCGTCATCTTCAAGAGCATGTCTTTCCCGCAAAATGTGTTGATAGTCCACCCACATTGCTTCAGCAATGCCATCGTGCATCAAATGTAGATCGTCGTGCACAGCCGCGTGGTCTTCTGCTGGTGTGCCCTCTGAGTTTGCAGCAGGTGCATCATCAGGCAAATAGTCTGCATCCGGCAGTCTACCTTCTGCAGGATCATGAAAGCAAATGAAATTGTGAATGCTGCACAATGCAGCTGGAATCTGAGC